TTTTAGAAAATTGCCTTTCTTACTTAAGTTCATTTGAATGGCGTAAAATATTTTGAATAATACGATAGATAAATTTTTCTTAGAAAATCTGAATATCATTTGAAGAGAAATATGATTTGTCAAAACCCGATCAAAAATCGAATTGGTAGATGAGCAAGAGCTTTCCTTTCATTTATTGGCACAAATATTACTTCTTTATGCAGAAAATATATTATTTCAAATTTCATTTTATTAAATTTGAAAAAAGGCATGTATAATATCATATTTGTGATTGTATACAATCTCACTTAGTTCAATTATCATAAAAATGAAATAAAAATCTTTTTTGTCACCTTTTTTTCCAATATGGAAATAATTTACAATTAAATATTAATATTATTATTTTCCATTATTCTTATTTTATAATCAGTGAATACTATTATTATAGTGTCCTTATTTTCAAAGAAATTTGTTAAATGAATATTAAGATATTCGAGTTTTCACTTGCCAATTTTAGAGCAGTTTACATAATCGGTAAGTTTTTCAATGTAAATTTGATTGAATCATTGGTCATTTATATTCAGAAATTCAAAGGAATAACTTATTCCGAATAAGAAATCATGTATTCAAAAAATAGTCTTTTAGTTTATATATCAATTGAATTAACTTATTAATTGAAAAAGTTTCGAAATAAAACAAATGGGCGATTCAAAAGTCGCCTATGAGAAGGTATTCTCGATGTATCGCGATCTTATTTCAGTCGATGTTGGCAATTATTTAAATGGAGAAACAACACTTACTTTTCCGGTGATCCCACAAAAATTTGTGGAATATCTTTGTAACGACGTCCAACAAATATTTCACAGCGAAAGTGTCTTACTCGAACTCCCACACAATTTCATAATTATCGGGGACCTGCACGGCCACATTCTCGACTTATTTCGAATACTTAAAATATATGGATTTCCGCCATCCCAAAACTATCTTTTTCTTGGCGACATTGTTGACCGGGGCGAGTTTTCAACAGAGACCATCATTTTAATTTTTTTACTGAAAGTTCTATTTCCAACGAACGTTTATTTGATTCGAGGGAATCATGAATTCCCAGAAATGATGCAACATTGTGGGTTTTCTAAAGAATTAATGACAGTTTTTAAAAATTCATCAGTCGAGGGTCATTTCATGAGTGCATTTTCATTTATTCCTCTGTCGGCATTAATTGATCGCAAAATTTTATGCGTTCATGGTGGAATTGGTCCCAGGATGCAAAATGTTTCATGCTTGAAACGAATAAATCGACCAATTTTTGCTTTCGATGGAGAACCGCTTTCTTCTGCATTATGGAGTGATCCACTTGAGAACTTTAGCGGTTTTAAAGTCAGCCAAAGGGGTTCAGGTTTCCTTTTTGGAAGAGATGTCCTTCAAAATTTCCTTAAAAACAATAAACTTGATCTTCTTGTTCGTGCACATGAATGTGTGATGAAGGGGTGTCTTCAAATGTTAAACAATAAATGCTTGACAGTATTTTCTGCATCATATTATTGCGGAATTTCACCAAACGCAGCAGGAATCTTTATTCTCAGAGAAGATAACTCTCGTGAAATAGTTACTTTTCCACCTCTGAATTACTTCAAGAGAGAAAATGCTCAGTATCGTGTCCAAGAGATTTCGTCAATGTTTCCAGTTATCACCAACACAAATTTGAACTCGAATAGTGAAAAGGAAAAAGAAAATTCGAATTTCAATAAAGAAAACGTGAATAAAAATCATCTTCCACAACTTGATATGCGTTCTGCTCATCAAGTTGGAGCACGTGTTCCTGCTCAAGGTGAACGAAGAAGAAGCTGTTCAGCAATTTCCGGTCCAGGAACTGGAAGGCCTCACCAAGCCATTGGACTGGGTTTTCGCTCTAGGCCACCTTCTTCTGCAACAGCGCGATCGTCGTCAATTCAACATATAAGACCTATTTCGGTGAATGCAAACAGAGGAAAAACAGATTTGCCTGGTTTGCCCTCAAAATCAACAAATCAACAAGATCAATCCAAATATAAACTTATTCCAAGACCAACAACAGGAATGAAAGTAAGACCATGAACAAATGATTTCTTTTCATTTTAGCATTTTTTGATCATACTATAATTTTCATTCAGATCAGTGAAGTGAATATGACGTGAATAATTTCACAAGGATTCAATTACAACCAAGACAACAAATTTGTGAGATTATCTTTGTTTGATATTTTATTATTTCCTATGATATAGATTTGTAATAATAAATTATATAATTTTTGTGAGATTATGCAAATACTTTTAGTTTTTTATTGATTTATTTATCTACCTCTCACTCCACAGAAGATTGATATTCTAACTCTTCGGAGTTGACATTGATCACCAAAATAATAATCTTTACACTTAGAATTAATGATCATAAACCGTCGTTTTCGATTTGGTTACATTAGATTTGGATAGATTTTTCGTTATCGAAAAAAAATTATTCTAAACTACTTTCAACAATTTGTTTTACTGTTTCCAAAATTCGAAATCAAATAGTATATATTTATTTGTTATATTGTAACCAACAAAGCGCAAAAGAAGCGACTCATAATGGTTCCACAAGGATGAATAAATACTTTCCTAGAAACAAAAATGATACATACATCTTCAACGCGTGGTAGACCGCAAACATTCACTTCTGAGATGAAAGTTTTTTTTTTCGAAATGATGTGAGCAGTATCCAGCCTTTTCTACGTCATTCAACTTCGCAGGAAAATTTTGTTCAATCTCATTTTGAAGGTCCCATTTTAACATACAATGGCATGATTTCAGTTCCATTCATTGATTCATCAGAGCTAATCAGAGATATCACAACAACGAATGTATTTAGAAAAGATGAAGAAGAAATTATATTATTGGCAGTCTTTGAAATTGAACCAAAATGGAAAATTATTAAGAAGAGGCTACCAGGAAGATCAGCAGGTGATATCAAAAATCACTATATTTAATGAAGAAGCAAATTTACGAGAACATTTAAAATATTTTTTTTTCTGTGAGGTCTCTGAAATCATATACGAAAAATCGTGATGATTTTGAATGACGACAGAAATGACTTTAAAGTAAAAAACAATGGCATTATATTTTTTTCTGTAGAAAAAATCTCATCATATTCAAAATTATCGCGAATTGTTGAAAGGAGTTTATTTTGAAAAGCAAAATTTGAAAGATAAAGCGAATAGAAAAATGACGTAGAAGATTGTAAATACAGAAAAAGTTATTTTGTCATTTGTTAATTTGCTTTGAAATTTCCAAGCAGAAATGAATATCCCAACAATTATACTTCCTATGACTGATGAACACATTGCTGCCACAGTAATATATTTAAGCTCTAGTATCACATCAGATTTTTTTTATAAATTTGAAGATAATGATTGTCAAATTATTGATAAATTCAAGAATTTACACCAAATTATGTCATTATCAACCAAAGATGATGATGATATTTTTAAATTCAACATCAAATTTGACAATTCCATCTCTGAAATTAAAATTACACAAAATAGTATTTTTAGTAAAAGCCAATTATTTCCACTTTATGGACTGGATTATGAAATAGATGAAAACACAAATTTTATTTTAATCAAATTATCGGAGTATTTTCAAATTGGTTGGGAAGTTTTTCTCCATCACAGTTCATTCCTTAGAAAATTTAACACAATTGATAAGGTGAAAAGAAATGCTTTTGTTATAGGATTCCCAAATTCACTTAATTCCAATCTTTTACACAAAGGAATTTGGTCTTTCAAATCTTCATCATTAAATCATTTTGTTGATGGATTCACCAATTTCTGGAAATATTATTGTCAAACAAAATTCCCATCAGTATTCACAGATAAAAATGGATTAATTAAGCGACTGTACCAAAAGCAAGACAAGGTAAAATCATTTTCTTGTCTACAAGTAATCCTTACAGAATTGAATAAACACTCCGACAACAAGATTCGGAAAATATTTAAGGCTGTTCAGCGGCATGCCAACGATGATGTGATTGAATGGGCCACTTCCGATGGAAAGCCAGAAGACACATCAAATAACACAAGTGAAAATAACTATACAAGACGTATTTTTTATCAAAATGAAATCGTGAAAAAATTATCAAAAACATCTTTACAATCAATCAGTTATCCAGAATTGACAAATATTCCGATTTATTATCGAAGCACAAATAATAGGTGGTATATGAATAGAGGACAACTTGCTGAAATACAATATACAGATATACCGGATTGGGTACGTGACCATGCATTTTTTAACGAAATAATGAAGGATGAAAAATATACTGTTCCATATGATTCTTATAAACTTTTTCGAAATTCTGTATATGCTTTGTTTGTTCAAATTCCTTTGTTTGATATTGATGCTCATCAAAATGTGTCTCATTACCAAGTTTATGTTGGAAAAGCTGCACATATGAAAGAAAGATGGTTTTCTCAAAAATCAAGCCATTTAAAAACCATAAACGGGATAATAAAGAAATACACAAATCCAAATCACGAATTACTTAGTCTCGTTGATTTAGTTCTGGCATATATTTGGATAAAAAATCAAAATAATTTCGCTGATGAAATATTTTTACTTTGCGTTACAGCTGACAATGAAGAGTATGAACAAATTGAAAGTGAACTTATAGAAAAAGGAAATTGTACAGATTGTGCTTTTGGACTAAATGAAATATCTGGATCACAAGGTAGAAGTACAACCGAATAAGACTTATTCTCCCAAATGAAACAAATGAAAAGTAAAAGCAAAAATGTGTCATTTTTAGTTGTTATTCAATTTATTGACTACACCAATGATTGATTTAATAATGTTTGATGCATTTTATGATTAACATGATTTTATAACAATAGAGATAAACCACAGATTTGAATCGCAATTTTTTTAATTCGATGGGGAGATTTAAAAATTTTCTTTCTTACCAATCTTGAAAATTGAATCACGACATTACTAATTTTGAAAGAAGACAATGGCAGAATGGCCGAGTGGTTAAGGCGTGAGATTCGAAACCTCATGGGTTCATCCCGCATCGGTTCAAATCCGGTTTCTGTCGATTTTTTTCCCTTTTTTTATTTTTATGACCAAATTGCGATAGAATTTGATTTATTCTTCTTGATGACTCTTCCTCTTTATGGTCTAAATTTTGCCGCAGTGAATATTTTCTATTACATTCCTTCATTACCAGATGACCTCTTACTTACCATCATGGTTTTCGGTCCAACAGTCGGATATTTCGATCTTTTGATGAAAATGTTGAAAACACGTAAAATCGACGGCTTTTCTTTACACAGTGCTTTAATCATGCTTCTTTCAAATACACTTCGCTTTTTTTATTGGACTTTTGAGCCATTCCAAAATTATCTCCTCGGCCAATCAATCGCGGTTTTCGTTATTCAGTTTGTCCTCTCAATTTTGTCATACATATTAACAAATTCTACAAGCGAAAAAAGTATTTCAAATCTTCTCAAAAGGGAATTTTCGTATAATAATTTTCGACATTACGATTTTCAAAAAGTTTCCTTCTATTTGAATACAATTCAAAGTAGAAATGCCATTGATTTTCTTATTTCTCTTTTACTTTACTTAGGAATCATTTTCATCACCTTTTCTTTATTTTACCTTATATTTGGCCTTAATTTCGCCTTAACGGTTTTTATATATTCATCGAATATTATTGATACTTTTGTTTCACTTCCAACATTTTTATCTGTTGTTATCAAGAAAGAATACAATACTGTATCCACAGTCCTTCTTCTGCAGCAGATAATTGGAGATGTTTTGAAGCTCGCAATGTACTCGATCGGCAAATCTGGATTTGCCTTCGTTTTTGGCGCCATGCTTCAGACATCACTTGATGCAATGTCAACTATGACATACTTCACAAACATCAGAAAATCAGGAGGCTTTAATTTTCATTTCAAAAACTCAGAAAACCTCGATTTTTGATTTATTTTGTATTTTTCCATGAAAAAATAGTGTTTCTACACGTTTTTATAATCTCTATCTATTTGTAAATTAAATATCATTTTATTTCATTTTGCATCATCTTTTTTTCCACCTTTCTTCAATCGATTGAAGAAATCTAAAAAATAAAAAATAATACTTTCAGGTTATTTTGAGGAAAAGCATCTGAATAGATAAAGTGTTTCTGCAATTGAAGACGAATCCAAATCATTAATCTTCAATAAAAATATTCAAAATAACATAAAAATGAAATAAGTCACAATCTGAATTTAAATATAAAAATAACAAAATTATTCGCTTTTTGCAAAGACATCTCCTTCAAGCTTCCCAAACATTGGCATCTCTCGTAATACTTCTTTTTGAAACTCTTCTGGAAAAACCATTGTTTTGAAAACGTCATTCGGCGAAAAGAATGTTGGATTTTCTGCTGCACGAATTTCTAAGGTGTGCTCATTATCATTACTCTTTGAAACTTCATTAATAGCAGTGTTGAATCCGACTAAGATAACTGGCAAGTTTACAGCAGATTCTGGTTTGACAATTCCTCGATTTCTCTCAAGAAGCGATCTGTATGTTAAATACAATCGAATCTTATTCAAAATTTGTTGCCTTTTTTGGCTATTTACTGATAATAGTTCTTGGTCTTGTTCGCTGACTTTTTTGCTTGCTTCGGGAATTGGCGGTGGATTGTATTTAATAGTTTTGTTTTCTTTTGTAATGATTCCTGATGCTAAAAACACATTTAAAACATCATATACTCTTCTTCGAGTGGTTTTATCTCCACTCATATCACCATATGCTTGTGATATCTCAGTGATTATCATATCTGCAACTTTAGAAAATGTTGTTGTTGGATTCATCTGCAAATATCTGAGAACCGAAGCGGATAGATTATTTAGACAAAGCGGCTTTGAGGAGCGTGATGTTTCGTTTACTTTTCGACTCATTTTATATTGAATAATTTCTAAATCTTTTTTCAATATGGAGACGATTGATTTTCTGAGCGAATAACCAATTTAAATCTAAACGTGCATTTTATTCATTCAAATCCATTCAATTTAATTTTAAACGTGTATTATGAGATATCCACTTCAACCAGAATGCCACTATTTGACAAATTTGATTTACAACCATTTTATTTCAATTATTTCTGATAATATGTCCAATTAAAATTAAAACTAATTTTGACTCCAAAACCAAAAATTGTAATTCCATTGAAATGAGAACTTCTTTCAATGATAGTAAATGATTACTAAATACTAAGGCATTATCCATTGAGGTAAATAAAAAATGGGAAAGAGAGAAATCAATTTGATTATGACAAATGAAATTGTGATTGAACAGATAGATCTATTCGAAAACTGAAATGCATTTATATGAAAAAAAGTATTGATGAAGAAAATATTAATTTTGGACTAACTCCGAGCTATATTTTTCATTTTATTTTTTTATAAAAAATAAGTCTTTATCGCATCCAATCATCATAATGCAATCAAATTTCTTTGATTTTTACATATCCTCATTTTTTTAATACCTTTTACCTCTCGCGCCTCGTGTTGCTCCGCCCCTTCCACCACGGGCACCGCCTGTTCTTCCAGAAATTCTTGGAATTGGCGCATTAGTCGACGAGCAAAACCTTTCATGTCTTGCAAATTGTTCTTCACCGAATTTTCTTCCGCAATAGGGACATTGAACTCTATCATCTGGGACTTCCTGCATTTTTGGCATTTCTGGTGGCGGTCCAACAGCCTTTCCTGCCTGTCTTGCTTCTTCATAAGCTGTGAATTTTCTTGCAGCTCTTAAAGCGGCAACCAAATTTTCGTGTTCGACTTTGTATTTCGGTTTTCCATTAATATATTCTTTAGCTGGTTTTTGCGGCTGCTTTGAAGCTACTCTTTGGTAGGAGGCTGCTTCTGTTCCACTGAGTCTTTGCTTCTTTGCATCGAATTTCCTCCTTTTCTTTGATGCTGTGGCACAAATAGACTCATGCTTATCAATTCTGTCACTTGCAAATCTTCTTCCGCAATATCTACATTCGACGCGATCCCCGTTGTCTGTTTCTTCCGGGATATTCATTGGGGGACCAGCCGTAAATCTGTTCGGCTTTCTGGAAACAGCCGCCTTTGGCTTCGATGCAGCAGCAGGGGCCGGCTTCGCTCCAGAAGACACGCCCGAGCCCCTTCCTGGCGCTCCAGCGGGTGCCCGCGTGGCAGAGGCACCACCTCTAGCTGTTCTTTTTGCTGCTGCTGTTGTTGATGCTGCTGCTGCTGTTGCTGTTGCTTTAGTTGCTGGTGGAGCACCTGCGGGACGAATGCTTCTTTTTGGCTGTGGCGCTGGCGGCTCGTCATCATCAAAAGCATTGCGTCCCAGTTGTGGCCTTGAAACGCCACCACCGCGCCTTGCTGCAGGTGCTGGCTTGGATGCAGCAGCGCCGCCTCTTCTGCCGCTTCCGCGCTGGCGACTTGATCCCGGCGGCGGAAGCGTTCTTATCCAGTTTAGCAGCGTGACTCTTTGGCCAACCAGAAGGCCCATCTGCCTTAATTTCGCATCATCTAAGCCATAAAGGTCCATTCCTGTAATTCCTCGATCAACAAACTTTTTGGAACATGCACCAAGGCCAATAGTTTTGAGTTCTGTGGCAACATCAACTGGTTCCCAGTCAGCTGGATCCATTTTTTTGGAATATTAATAATTTTAAGAAACTTCATTTAACTTTCCCACTTTTTCTTAATTTTATTCTTTTATTTGTGAAGGAGTTTGAATGAAATAAAATGAAAACTCGTTTAAATTCAAAAGTGCACGTTTAAAAATTGTCGTATTAGCGAAAATATGAACACTTTTGGTTAATTTGACTTTTCATTTGACCTTAAATGTTCACTGTAACACTAGTTTGAATAATTTGAAAAAATATCATCTCTTCTCAGAGAATACAATATCTAAATCTTTTTCTTCACAATTAGATGTTAAGAAAATTCAAAGTATCAATTCTATCTGATTATGGATTTAGAAATCATTTCATTTCTCAAGTTAGTTGAAGTCTTGTTTCCTGTGAGTATCTCAAAGAGAAGGTCAAATAAAGGTCAAAAGTGTAAAGGTGATGTGAACTTTGTTGGTTCTTTGAGTCACATTTTACCATTGAGAGAAGTGCGACATGTAAACACGGCTCTAGTTCACTGTGATCTCTCCACCATACCGGCAAAGCCACATCACACTTACCAATTTTTATGACAAAAAGCATATCTCATTGGAAAAAAATTCCTGTCATTATTCTGATATTTACGATGAAACTATTATACATTTTCTTAATGTTCATATACAAATGAAAAGAGTTATCTTTTCTTCAAATTTGTCAAAATTGTATAAGTTTTCTTTTGATCTTTTGGTTTGTTGTGATGGGCCGAATAGTATCAAATCATTTATGCAACATTTAATATTGAAACATCTATACATTTAGTATCAAACTTTATTTTGAGCAAAAAAATGATTTGCTTAAAATAAAAATTAAGCCTTTTTTTTATTTCAAACAAACAAACAAACAAACAATAAACAAACAAACAATAAACAAACAAACAAACAATAAACAAACAAACAATAAACAAACAAACAAACAATAAACAAACAAACAATAAACAAACAAACAAACAATAAACAAACAAACAATAAACAAAAAAATACAAGAATTATATCTCTATATACCTTTATTACAATCGAAATATCATTACGCAGCTTCATCGAAATCAACCAAAGTTGGGGACGCCGAAAAATTAATTCTGGGGGATTTAATCAAGTCCACATTTCGTTTATTCTTTGTTATTGCTGTCTGTGGCCTATTTCTGTTATAATTTGAAGTTTTAGCCAAATTTCCTCTCAAATTTGAACTTCGGGAATTTTTAACATCTGCGCCTTTTCGAGGAATGTAAGTTTGGCTCATTGATCTTCTATTCCCATTTTTAAAGGAGCCAGTTGCATTGAAATTTGCTTCATTCTGCTGAATTTGCTGAAGCTGCTGAATATTCTGTAGTGTTTGGCCTGTTTGATGCTGGTAAAGGAGGAGCTGCTGGGCATGGATGATTTGCTGTTGTTGTGGTT